ACCTAATACTCAATTGGGATTGGTCGATTTTCTTACGCTTACGTCTTACGGCCTTACGAGATTTCATGTGTGAAGGCCTTTAGCGCGGGAGATGCCTCGTGTGGTCGGTCTATCCTTGTTACTCGCTCGGGTCGCCCCGAAGATTAATCCTAACCTAACCTATTTTAACCTACGTACAAAATTGGAGTTATAAACATGTCATCACATCGCGATAGTGATAACAACAGTATGAACAACTTGTTGGACGAGAAGAGCGTCGATCTGGAAAATTGTAGAAAATTGGTCAAGTCGTACATCGATTTGGTAAGCGTCGTCAAATCTGCCCTACCCCGTGCGCGGCTGTTGCGTTAAAACCTGCTGTATTTACTTTTCAGCACCTGTACAGTGCCGCCTTGTTTTGGGCTGACAAAGTGGTATCGTTGAGCAACGAGGATCCAAAAGATGTGTGCACTCTGGCGCAGTGCATGTACCTCATGAAACAGTATCATCGTGCTGCGCATCTTATAAAGAGATACGGATTGGAGAAGGTAATCTTAATTAAACCATTGATTTCTCCTGGGGATGCAGTACTTTGTCTCGTTTAACAACATAGTCATATAGTTTTACAATATCAGTCACACTATCAGTTTAAATAATCCGCAATACACCAACAAGTAATAATCCGTTGCTGCAGAGTGATTTAATGTGCCATTACTTAACCGTGAGGTGTCTGCTGGAAGCGAAGGAGTACAGCGACGCGCTTAAAGTTATCGACGAATCTGAATTATACACCAACATAACGCAAGGTGGTGTCAGCTTCGCCGATCGTACGGACATTTTCCAGGATGCTCTCAAAAATGTATGAGTACATTCACATCTTACACGTGTGTGCAGATTTATATTTGCAATAGTATATTAATTTACATTTTGTCATTTCAATTGCCATAAAGTTATGCTGCCACATTAGAATTTAAGATAATAAATATCCTCTTCCTTTTTACAGGTTCAGAGTTCAATAGTATATGTGAAAGGCAGAGTGTACGAAGCTATGGACAACAGAGTGGTGGCGACGGAGTGCTACAAGCAAGCCTTACAGTGCGATGTTTACTCGTACGAGGCGTTCGAAGCCTTGGTGCAAAATCAGATGCTCTCAGCTTCCGAAGGTAATATCGGTTTTCGTCGGATGCGATGTGATTTTCTTGAATGAATTGTATATGTGTAACTGTTAATTTAGAACGGGAACTGTTGGAATCCTTACCATTCGCGGAACAGTGTACGAAGGGCGAAGCGGAACTCCTGCGACTGTTGTACGATAGTAAACTGAAGAAATATCAAGAGCCGAACACAAAGCAGTCGTTAATTACGTGCAACGTAATGGGAGTTTCCGTCACACACAGATTGTCGGACAATTTGGACATGGAGGTCGCGAAAGCCGAGAGATTGTATTACAATTGTGACTATCATCAATGTTTCTCGCTTACGGGAAAGTAAGTAACGTCTCTTACGTCTCTCAAGATCCTATACTTATGTCTCGCAACAAAATGTAACGTGATATTTTTAATGCTCGCAGAATCTTGAAAAAAGATCCATACCACAATTCCTGTCTTCCGGTGCACATTGCCTGTTTGGTTGAGCTTAAGAAGACTAACAGTAAGTTGAAATTCTGTCGGATTAAATGAACGTAGCTAGAGCTCGTTAACAGCGAAACTTTATTCCTTAGCTCTGTTTTATCTGGCGCATAAATTGGTTGATTTGTACCCGGAAATGGCCTTGGCATGGTTTGCAGTTGGATGCTATTATTACACCATAGGTGATTACCATTTAATATTATTATTCAGTATTTTTTTAAACAAAATTAGATGTAACAGAAAAACATTAAATTCACGTATGATTGAAGATTTTGTGAGATATAGATTTGCTAACAGAAAAACGTTTGAAGTTGTTCGATATTTTATTTGCCGCAGGCAAAAGCGACCAAGCAAGGAGATACCTGGCAAAGGCCACCGCACTGGACAGACTGTTTGGTCCTGCTTGGTTGGCATACGGGCATTCCTTCGCGGTTGAAAATGAACACGATCAGGCCATGGCCGCTTATTTTAAAGCGTCGCAACTGATGAAGGGCTGCCATCTTCCGCTTTTATACATCGGATTAGAATGCGGCTTGACGAACAATCTAAAACTGGCGGACAAGTTCTTTCAACAAGCACAAGGAATAGCGCCGAACGATCCGTTCGTAATACACGAAATGGGCGTTATATGCTTTTACAATTTAGAGTAGGTATTAAAATTGTATTTCGTTTTCCTCTGTCTCTTTGCATTTACTTACGTTGAAAAAATTAACATTACACAAATCTCTGTGCTTAATTAATTTACCAATAAATTATCACGAGGATTATTCTTGTTAAATACAGTTACAAAAATGCAGAACGATTATTTAAGGAAGCTATGAAAAGCATTCAAGGCGACATAAGGAACGTGATTCTGCCCAGTAAGTGGGAGGCGCTACTGAATAATCTGGGCCACACTTGTAGAAAAATGAAAAAGTACGACGAGGCGCTGGAATATCATCAACAGGCGCTAGTCCTAGATCCCCTGAACCCGTCGACTTACTCGTCGATCGGATTCATTCACGCGCTAATGGGCAATATCCAAGAGGCGGTGGATGCTTTCCACAGAGCGCTCGGCCTTAGGAGAGACGATACATTTACCGCGACTATGTTGGGTTACGTCATGGAGCAGCTGATTGATGAGGCGCCCCCGTATCCTGGTACGTATACAATTGAATCGATAGCACAAAAATAATAATGTTAAAAGGATCTTAAAATAATTGCATACATAAATGAAATTAAAAACTGTTAGTTGCATAGAAAATTTATTTTCAAATTTGATGCTACATTTTTTATCGCGAAGGATTAATTAATGCTCCTGAATCTTTGCAAAACCATTTAACTCCCTTCCGATCGATTTAACTTTCATATATCATATTTTTTTTTACTTCATGCTTAAAATTATGGAACTTCTTTAATTTATCAGACGCGCCTACGGAGATACCGAAATACAAATCCGAGGAGAACGAAAACAGACCGTATTCATCTGTCTTATCTGAGGACAATGAAGCTAAACTGTCCGTGGAAAACCCCAGTAATGTGGGCAGCAGCAGCAGCACGAGTGGTCAAAATATCGATAAATTAAGAGTAAATCTGTTCTCTGGAAGCTGGGGCGAGAATTCCGGTAAAGGGGAAGCCAGCACGCCCGTTAAACTGGAGCAACAAACGTTGGTCGTTAATTACTCGAACGGCGATAGCTCCGAAGTTGAAATGTTAGATTCCTCGACCGCGCACATAGAGTATAATTAAATCCGCAAACTTCTTTTTGTCGCAATAAAAAGTAATAGTGATTTTTTTTTTCATATTAAATAGAACGGTAGAGCTTCATTTAAGATACATTCAATCTCAGAGACATTCAGTGTAGCAGAATGATTGTAAATAGCGTGTATATACTTTCCTTTTTATATATACTCTAATTTTGATACGCCTTATAAAGTCACGGATTTCTCGCGACAAGATACTACGTTGGTATTGTATCAGTCTATAATAAATTTGTTAGCTTGAAAAATAAAAAGTATGTGAAGACGAGTCTAGTCGTTTTAAGAATCAGCTGCGCTAGCTCCTGGAAAAGGTGCTGTTCTCGCGTATTTCATTTTATATCTCAAAAGGAAAGCCTTTGTTTTTTTATCTCTACTGTCTTTTTTTTTGAAAGAGATGAGAAAGCGTGCAGTTCTCGAAAGAGCGTGCACGCGGAAGAAAAAGAAAGAAAGGGAAAAATGAATAAAACGTTCAATATTAATATTACAGGGCAAACTGGAAACAAAGAAAAAAATAAATAAATGAACAAAAAGTCGGAGAAAATATGTGAAAGAAAAGAAAATTAGATCAAGTGGTAAAACAGAATTGGAAAATGATAAGAAGCAATATATACCGAAAGGGGGGGGGGAGAAGAAGGGGGAAAAAGCGAGCACAGAGATCTTTAGTTGAATCCCCGCGGCGGGGGGTAGGTGGTACCAGAGCATGTGGGGGAGAGTGGGCGTTCCGTGTTTTCGCTGTGTCGTGTCGTCGGCAATAAGTCGGTGAACGGGGCCAGAGGACGATCCTCATTTATCCGAGGGAAACGGGCGAGCGGGCGGGTAGCGCGGCGGCGGATGTCACGCGTTCCGAGTAGGCGAGTATTCGCGCGAGCCGTTAAGATCTCCCACCGCCGATCCCTTCAATTCTGAGAAACCACCCCTCGCCGTGGCCCGCCGCCGCCGCCGCCGCCGCCGCTGCCGCTGCCGCCGTCGGTCGCCGTCGTCGCCGTCGTCACTCGCGCGTAACTTCTCGTGGAGCGCGCAGCGCGTGAAGTCTATCACTTGATCGCGCGTTGTTGTTACTCGTTTTTAGTGGCGGACGGGATCGAGTCGGCCGACGGCTCCCACTCGCTCGTGTCCCTCGAGACCGTGCGGGAGCGAGCCCCCCGCGTCGAGGTGAAGACTCCTTCCATCGCTCGTATCCTCGAGGCTCCTTCCTAGCTCGCTCGAACGGCACGCTTCTCCGCGGCCATGCCCACGCTGATGCAACCGGTAAGTCTTCTCGTCGTCTCGTCCGCGCGATTATCGCAGGGAAGGGTGGGAGGGGGGAGGGCGATCGCTAATTAACATTTAACGTCGGCGGCTCCGAGAATTCGGCATCGCCCGGACACGAGGGGAGATTCACGCTGGCAGCTCGTGACACTCCGGCTATAGATCCGTTTGTCCTTTATATATCGCGCGTGAAAGTAGTATACGAATACATTATGTACATACAGCTGCATGTGTACTAGAAAGTATATTACACCTAAAGATGGAGAGGAGAAGCGGAAAGAATTGACAAAGTCGCGCGACGCATTTTCGAAATTGGAAGCGGAAGAGGAGCCTTCGCGGACTCGGCGCTCGGTGGTCCCGGAATCGCTATTTCTTTCCGTCCTTCCCTCCCCCGCGGGGGGGTGGGTGGGCGATCCTGGATCGGTCGCCTCGCCGAACCCGGGACTCTTAAATGCGCCGTACAGGAATGCTCCGGTTCCGGTTCGTTAATTCGCCGCGCGCTACGCCGATGTGAGTACCGAACGCAAAGGAATGTCCTGTGCCGCGCGAAACGTAAATAAACACGGCCGATGGGCCGACGACGTGCCGTGTACGAGTGGTATATGTACACGCGTAAGTACGCGAGAATTCCTGACCGAACGTAACCGTATAACGCGCCATCTGAGACTCCTCTCCGAGGGTGAGATCCTCGCCACGATCACGCGCGCGCGGGAGGGTGAGATCTCGCGGGAGGGCCGCGCCGACGGGAATCCGGGTCGGTCGATCACTCCCCGCGGAGGGGGTGGGGACCCCCCTCCCCTCCCCTCCGTAATCGCGGGGCTTCTAATGGTAAACACGTGCCCCGCATTACGGTACACCACCTCGGTCGAATTCCGCGAAATTCCGATCGCCGGGAATGGGGCGAATTGTTTGAACGTCGCGTAAATCTCCGCGTACATATCGCGTTACGTACCGTTGGCCTGCGCGGAATTGAAGCAGCTAGCCTCGCCGCTTGCGAGTCTTTATATCGTTTCGAGAAGAGGAGATTGCGTGTCCCGGAGACCCGCGCGATGAGCTGCAGCCACGTAATGCTCGGTTTCATCACGATACCGTCGGTGTCTGTGCTTCGTTAATTACTTGGGCAGAGATGGAGAATTCCGCAGCGAATGATTTAAAACGGTCGGATCGCGGTTTCCGAGAACCAGAAACTAATATACTCCTATTATAGGGTATTATAATTAATTGTGAAACAATTTCTGATATTTATATATTTATCTCTCTCTCTCTCTCTTTTTCGACTAATATAAAATGACGCATTTCCGCCTCGCGCTGATAATCTTGACTGACGATTGCGAAAGTCCTCGTTAGAATCATACAGGACGGGGGAATTAAATATTCGTCGGACGGAGAGACGGCTAGCTCGCGATTCCGCGGTTCCAACCTAGACGCGACGAGGAATTGATCGGCCGACGTTTCGGAGGTCGTGAAATTCCGGGGAAAAGCCATGACGGAATGTGTTTCCCGGCGACCCCCGCTTCCGAAAGAATTTTTGCTTTTTTTCGCGAATTCCACAAGCATACCGCGCCGCGTCGCGCCGGCGTCCTTCAAGAGGCCGCTGTGTTAAGTGTTTTCGATTCCGCTCGCGGCTAATCGCGGCCGCCGTCGACCGCACCGCAGTCCGTCGGCGTCGGTCGTACGGTTCGTGTGCGATAGACGGTGGGAGATTTCGCGAGGACCGACCGAAGTGATCACGATTTCCGAGGTAAAGCGAGGCCCGGCTTCTAATTCCCTCGTCCGTTAACGATTACGGGAGGATCTCGGAAGATCACAGGCGAGCGCGACCGAAACAGAGAACACCCAGGCGACAACATAAACATACATTCGAGACACGCGAATCTTCTGTTTATAAACTAGACCGACATATGTCGTATCGCTTGTATGTGTGCGTCAATCGAACGTGTATGTAATTCGGTTGATATCTGCTCTACCGTGCTGAAAGCGGGAATCCGAAAAACGTGAGGAATTTATGGGGAATCGGTATAGTTTTTGAGTTCTCTAAACAGAGAGCGGCCCGGCTCGAAGCCGGGCAAGGGCGAGTGAAGGACTTTGAAAAACGCTTTTCTGGGAATTCAGCTTTCGACCGTGCGAAGCACCGTGGAATTTCGCTTTCCTAGGAAGGGAACACGATATATATCGCGCGTGCCACGACGAAATTACTTTCGCGGAGAAATCAGCCTTACGCGTATATCCGATTTCCATTCACGTACTCTCGGCTTACAGCACGTGTCACTTTTACTACTTGAACAGTGAGAGGAGAAGGAATTAAGTGGCTCAATGTCCCCCGATTCCGCTTTCCTAGATTCGATCGCACGAAACCCTCGATCGAAGGCTCTCTCCGTCAAAATGCTTCGAGATACTTTTTTTTAGAACGTTTCGAGAAATATCTTCTCCGGATTCGAGATATCATTCGGGATCAGCGATCGCGATGATTTAGTAAACCGTCGATTTTGCAGTCGGACATCACGCTGTTGAGCGACGAGGGCGACGAGACGGACGTCGGATTCGATCAGGACGCACTGATGCATCATCAGGATTCGCTGCACCACCAGGATGCGACGCAGAGCCGGGAGCGTAACAAGCTGCTGCTGCGTAAGCTGAGCCAGACCCGCGAGCGGGAGCGCGGCAAGGAGCGCGACCAGGAGCGCGAGAGGCTGCACCAGTTGCAGTCGATCAACAATCTGCTGCTCGACCTGCCCACGCCGCCGTCGCCGTCGCACCTCCCGAATTTCTCGCAGGACACCTCCTCCTCCCAGTCGGACAAGAACGTCAGTACTGACGGTAAGACGGCGCGGCGTCCCGCTCTCGCCGGTTCCCACTTGAATCCGGGTCAGCGGGAGGGCTATAACGATTTCTCGAGGGCGAAGACAATTAGAGACTTCGAAGATTCTCCTGTGCTGAATGCACACAGGACGCGGCGATGCATTGCCGCGCGGCGGAAGTTGGCGTTGTCGCCAATCAATTTGCCACTTTTCTATAAGAACAAAAGAAAATCGGTAAACTGATGTTGGCTACAACTTCCGCTGCAAGCGTTGTCGCGTCCTCTGTGTATCCAGCATTAGAAATTGGGAAATCTATTTTTTTGGGGGGGCGGTCTCGGCTCTGATCTTGACTTCGAAAGAATTTTTTTGAGACTTCCTGATTCTGCATAATTTATTGCTTTTTTGTGTTACATTATCTGTTTGTTTCCACTATTTTTTTTTTCTATGTGGTTGAAAGGTGTTAATGATTACGTTCTTAAGGCGTTAATGATTTTCTTTTTCCCACACAGGTGACAGCGCAATCTCGGATATGTTCGGGCTGGGCTTGCCTCGAGGATCCCTGATGGGAAACCAATCGACGATCGGCTCGTCGAGCTATCGTAATTATCAGTATGGCAGTTACGATCAAATGCAGGGATCTATTTCACAACAACATGAGGTAAAATTGTGCACGCGGACTTATGCCTCTGATATTTGTTTCAATGTAAGAGCTTAGAATTCTTAACGAAATTGTAAAAACGAGGAGTTTATTGCAACGAGTACGTTTTTTTGGCTCTTTTTTTGGAGTGATACTCGAATTGAGGACGCAGCAAACTGTACACGATAAAGATATTTAACGCGGTTTTTATTACAACCGGATAATAGTGTTGGAGTAGGTGGATCAGTAGGAGTCAATACGATTGGCGCACATCGTGATAAAACTCATTATCATTGAGATACAAAACAACGTGGTATGAAAACTCCACGAGATGATCCCAAGCCGAGATGATGTAATCTTGTAACCGACAAACGATGACACAATTTAATTATATCGGCAAAAATAAACTACAAGATTTTTTATTAATTAATGAGATAAAAATTTTCTGCATGTTTCCTAAATTTTTTTATATATATTTTATATATATAATAATTTTATTTATTTCTCAAGTGAAGCTTTATTCATTGCAAGCAGAAATTTTATCGTATGAGAAAAAAGATTATATATTCACTTAATTTTATAATATTATTTCATCGCATTTTATGTTGTATTGATAATGTCTCACGAAAGATTATACTTATATTATTCTGGCGCAAGGAGTAGCCGAGATTGCTTTGCACTATGAAATAAGAATCCGACAAATTCGATTTGATAAACAAAAAAAAAGAATGCGACTACGGTGATAACTTCGGTGAATTGCAAATTGTACGTGGAAAATGGCGATAAAGATGACAAACGCAACATAAAACATACTGCTAGAGGCATTTACTCGGCGGGTGCAATAACCCGAACAATGAACATCCCCATTGGAATAACTCCAACTACCTTATCCCATTCCTTTTCGCCGATTCTAGGATCTAACTGTCGATGCTTGTATTATACCGTATTATGTATATCATATGGATATCGCAAAACTACCGTGTTTTCTTTCAGCGATTTATTTCGTGGCAAATCTACAGCCGAATTTTTTTTTCCTCGTAGAAATTTTGTCATTTGATTTTATCATTTAAGTACTCGAACTTTTGATGTATTTCAAATATCGAAGAACAACAAATTGGGTTTTCATTCATAACGGATCTTCAATAAAGAATTTGAGTCAAGTGTAATGACCTAAATAAAATGTATGGCGCGCTAAGACAATCTCGACGGTCGGAGAATCCGCTGCTCCGAGCCAAACGACTCTATTAGAACGCACGTCGTCTCGCCTTCCTTTAATCCGAGCCGACGCAAAGTTGCTGCCATTTCAAAAGATCGCACTCTCCTCTTTCCCTCTCTTTCTCGAGCTCTCGCACTGTCGCGTAATATTGCGTTTCAATTTGGACATGCTCCAAGTATTCCGAAACACATGTGCGCGAAGAACATTCCCCGTCTCTTCCTGCTATCTCTTCGAAGTCCGGTATGCTACTTAATCAGGATACGAAATCCTAAACTCGACGAGTTCATTAAATTTCTCTATACTTATATTCGTATCGCCACTTGTTACACGCCAACGTATAGCATATTAGTCTCTCTTGTATTCCCGCGACGTCGAGATCTCTGATTACATCGACTTTTCATCTCTCGATGGTCGCGAAAAGTACGATTTGTCTGCGACAAATGCAGGATATGAATAAGGAGCTTCGACGGCGATTCCGCATCCTGTCGATATCACGACTCGACCTCGACGCGTAATTAACGTTATCAATTGTGCGCGCAGTGTCATCGGAGTCACGGCTTCTGCTCGAATACCTCTGGCCTGGATATTCCGAGCTCACCGAATTCGATGACCACTCCCGGCAGTCCGAGCACACCCGGTAGCTTCACCTCGGATCCTTACAGTTACTCGTCCACTGCCAGCAACAGCACGAACACGCCGTCCTCGCCAACCAGCCGACCGTCGTTCCAATATCCGGGCTCTTCGTCTTCGCCTACCGACTCGTACTTCGGCCGTCCTATACGAGGCTGCTCTACACCATACAGGTAACTGGAGAATCGGGCAATTGAGAATAAAGCGTCGCAAAAGCGTATCAGGTCTAACAATAAAGTAACGCCATACAAAATACAATTTATTTAAAGTAGCATTTTTTCAAATATTTAATAAATTTTATTAATATTAATTTTAATATTAATTAAATTTTGAACTTTAATATTTGCTACTTCAGATTGACATATGTATATTTTAGTCTATTAAGTTAAAAATTTATGTATAATTGAATTAATTACATGTGTGTAAAATACTGTTAAATTTTGACGATTGTCGCGAATTCTTATATACTTCGTGTATCCCATAAATGCTAATTTATTTGTACTAGTGAATGTGGCAGCCCAACATTGGAATTCTCTCATCTTCTGGGATGTAACGGCTCGCGTTCCAACTCACCGGCAGACTCGGAGACAAGCGGCATTGGTAGCGCGGATGGCTCCATATCCGACATAATAATGGTGAGAGTTTTTCTTCCCCACTAGAATGTTTCATCGTCTGAATTATTGCGTCGTCCCCTAAACATTGCTGTCGAAAATGCTTGTTTGCAGAATTGTTTGTCTCTGAATTCCTCGTCGAATTCTTGCTTCCCGCCGTCTCTGGACTCCATAATATCGAAAACGAATACATGCCCGAGCAACAGAACGGCGTTCGAGCGTCTAGCTGTAAAAAAATACTTGTCATCGTTACAACAGAACTCAACGAGCTCGCATTATTACCAGCATCATCACGGACTCGGGCAAAATCGCAGCAATTTTCTTAATTCTCTCTTGAATCACGAGAAAAATTGCTGCACCGGTCTTGGAAATGCTGCGCGCAGATTGGCCCAACCAGTGTCGCTCGATCGGGTAGCGAGGTCCCACCGAAGTGCCGCTGGTGTGTATCAACATATATATATATATATATATATATATATATAATTATCACAATTTTATATTATTATTATTGTTTATATATAACCATACCATACAACACATTATCCAAATTTATATAAAATTGCTACAAATTTGCATTCATATTTTGCCCACTAATGAGACGAATTGTCCGACGAATTTGGAGATTTTTCTTTGATAAAAATATCGCAATAGCCTTCCGTTTTAACCTGAGGACAATAAGCTTTTCACGGGCAAAGCCTTAAGACTGCTAAATCTTCGAGAATTTCATTTTGTACAATATTTAAGACTTAATTATTTCCGAACACGTTGAATAATAATTTATATTGCAACACATTGATCTATTTATTTCAGCACATTGTTATCCAACATGTACATGGAGCGGTTTTCTGCCTCAAAGCACCGAGGAGCCAGTCGCATACTCTCCCAAGGTATTTTTGGGAGGTGTACCGTGGGACGTTACGGAAGCTATCTTAATTTCAACATTTAAGCAATTCGGGCCGGTTCGCGTGGAGTGGCCTGCAAAGGCTCCGTCCGCACAGCCAAAAGGATACGCTTATATCATATTCGAATCAGAGAAACAGGTGTGCATTAATTAACATTCGTATACTGAGTAGTGATTTGATAGATATTTTTTATAAAAACGGATTAATATGATTATATAAATTACTTTCAGGTTAGGGCAATGTTGTCCTGCTGCACCCATGATATTACCAATGGAAAGAGATGGTATTACAAAATTATATCCAAGCGTTCAAAGCCGAAAGATGTACGTTAATTCATAACGTTATGCATATATCCGGAATGGTATCGTCAAGGCTAAAATCTCCTGCTATATTTCATTATTTTAGGTACAAGTGATTCCATGGATTCTCGAGAACAGCAATTACATCAAATCGTCGTCACAGAGACTCGATGCACACAAAACGGTATTTGTTGGCGCGCTACACGGAATGTTAACGGCCGCAGGATTAGCGAAAGTCATGGACGATCTTTTCCATGGAGTTATTTACGCAGGTAATTACTGTAATTACTGTAATCATTCGTTTCACGATCATTAAACATTTTACTTTCTCTTTTATAATTTTACATATTTTATTTCATATTATCTTATAAATATATTTTCTCTTTTGCATTTTAAAAATTAATAAAAATAATATCTCAGGTATCGACACGGACAAATATAAATATCCAATAGGGTCCGGCCGTGTTACATTCAGTACGAAACAATCCTATTTTAAAGCGATCACCGCTTCATTCATAGAAATTAAGACTGACAAATTCACAAAGAAGGTAAGCTGGATAAAATTATGTATGATTAAAAAACTATCGACTTAACGTAACACTCATATATTTTTCTATTGCAGGTACAAGTGGATCCGTACATCGAAGAATCGATATGCTCCGTATGCGTTGTGCAACAAGGACATTATTTCTGCCGCGATGTGGTACGAAAACAAATTTAATTTTTATTTCCTTATTTCATGCAATGTCCAAATTCTAATTTTTCACTCGCACAAATGGCTTCACTTTTGGGATGTTTTTTTTATGCCCGTAACAATTTTGCAATTTTTTTTCTTACGCAATTCGCGTGTTCCTTTATTAAAATAATAAAGCTTAATTTGCATATATTAAATACATATATTAAATTCTACACGCGTTTGTTTACAGGCATGCTTCCGATACTTCTGCCGCAGCTGCTGGCAATGGCAGCACTCCGTGGACTCGATGTCGCATCATACACCTCTGACGCGAAACTCGAAGACGAATCAAGTTATAGGATTGAATCCGAATTTCGGAATGAACAACTGTCCCCGTATGTCAAATACGACGATGATCTAAAAGGGAGGCGACGCGCGAAGAAGATCATGTACACGTACGCGCGACCGTTAAAAAAAAAAAGCTTTTTGTTCGCGCGCCCGTCGTCTTCCTCCTCCTTTTTGTTCCTTTTTGACTCTACCGGTTAAACCGACGTTGCGCCGCTCGATCTAGAACATCGGGTAACAGGGTGCAGACTTAGTTTTTTTTATCGCGTAGCCGCGGACAGCTTAGGGATTAGTCCGACGATACGGGGACACGCCGATTCACAGGCCGCCGAGCTTTTGAGCTTGCGAACGCGCAACGATTGGTTCATTATCGTTACCGTGCGTGCGAAAGGACAAGATGTAATGTTGAAAATCGTATTTGTTCCAAAAGAAGTTCCTATTTGCGAACGCAGTTTTTACTACGTTCGAGAAAAAAAAAACGATATATTTTTATTTAGTACGTTCACTTAGAGAGACAGGTTCTCTTATCGATTTTTTTTTACCGCTAAATAATATTATCGTGCCAAAGTAGTAGGTGCTAGGGATTATGGTGGCCGCGATTATTCGTGCATTAGGAATACGCACATGTACACATACACGTGTATACACAGTTTTTTTCGTTATGAGTCGTGAAAGTTGTAATTGTGACTTTCACAGTGACAATAATTTTTTACGCGAGACTGTAAGGGCTCCGTTATGGCGATTTTTTGAGCTGGGCTCAATGAAAAAACACGTTTCTCAGGAAATCTATAATAGCATCGTCCACCATCATGCGTTTATCGTGTTTAAAAGTATTATACGCTTAATTATGTATCCTTACGATAATGCTAGAAGAGATTATTCATCTGAGATGTGGCGAGATAATAATTATACGATAATTATTTGTCACTATTACACTGCGCGCGCGTGATCCGATAGTAAATGTGATATAACGGGAGGCTTACCGGATGTACCATATATAACTCGCTAGTCGTTCTTCCATTATGCGATACTTGTCAATGACGTTAAACATTGTTAATTTTACGTTATATTACAATGTATCTTCTACATTCGATTGGCGGTGTAACGTAAACGTACGTGTGTTGCGTTATTGACCACTGATCGACTGGATTTTTTTCTATTATTGGCCGAAGCGAGCGGCTAGCTGTCACAGATATTTCGCTCACATGGACTGTTTAACGGTTGACGAATATGGAGAAGTACATGGTCTACGATTCTGGCGCGGATTGTAGGGTAATTGAGTCGTTTTTATTTTTTTCTCCTTTTTTTTTCTTACTATGTACAATTGTGTTGCACAACTTCTTTGAATAAGGTTTATCCTTCACTCGCGTTTCTCCCGTTTTGATACAATTTTGTTGAATTAAAAAACAACCAGATTTTTGCAGATATCCGATGCCTGTTTTTATTTTTTTTTATTTACCATTCCACTTTCGTTATTTGTTACTAATAATTCTTTCAGCCTTCGTCGGCGATAAGTGTTACTGAGACAGTGTTGAATGCGCGTTCTTAAAATTGCATATATATTTTATTTCTTCATCTTTTACAAACCATTTTAACTGATAGTAAAACTTAATTTGATCTCATAAGCGATTTGAAAAGGAATCAGCCTAAGTAAATATGTCCTTATTTTAATCTTTTTAATATCAAACCAACAAAAATGTTCATTGCAAGATTGAAACAATTTTACGGCACATCCTCTTTTTATCCAATTTCACGTTCTTAATTTGTTTATTTTTATTACGTTAGAATGTTTAGAGTTTTATTATTATATATGCACGCGCATATTCATTTTAGCGATGAATGACGATAATACGAAGATGTTAAGAAAAATAATATCGATAAAAAAATAAGGGCGATAATATTCAGTCTGCAGCAAAAGTAGCACGATATGTAACAATGCATTATTGAAGGAAATCTAAAACTGTCAACTTGAGTGATAATGAATTTGCATGAGGCAGTTAGATATAAAGCTAATATTCTCTGAAAAATATTTGAACGAGAAACATTCATTATATATCCCGTTAAAATATGTATCACTGTATATGATTCACAAATGATAAAACATGGTTGCTACATATATAAGCAATTATTGAAGAAAATAAGTGCTTTACAAAATACAAATACACTTCACATCGATACAAATATTATATATATATGTATACTCGATCAAAGCGCTTCGGATATATATTTCAAAGACATTTAATCTATAAATTACTCTATACAACAGCAGTATTCCAGTTTCAATAAGGAGATTTTTATCGGAGAGAAATTTTAATTATCTACGTGCTGTTTGACAAGGTTTCAATAAGTCGTGCCTTTTAACGTGATCCTCAGATTTGTTTACATGCCAAGATAAATTATTTTTTAAGCTATATGTAATAACTTACAGTGTGTGTGCATAATGTTAAGCTTTTAATGGAATTAGGCCAAGTGTTATGCCTCATTGGTCGGATTGGAATATATAGTTACATATATAGTTTATTTAATTAAATATTTAGTAAAGAGATATTCTTTTTGAATAAACTAAATAAGATCGAGATAGAGAAATCCGATCAATATTGGTGTAACCGAGTCCCAATTAGTTGTAAGCCACGATGTAATTGATAAATCGCATCGTGAATAAGTCCAAAGTACTTACTTCAGTTTAAATTCAGATGAAAAGTGCCTCTCCTATCTTTTAGCTTTTATTAATAATTCACGAGTTAATGATACAACGGTTGTGTATGCAACAATAATAAAATAATAAATTTTATGACACGATACTATACGTAAACCAAAAAAATGATAATTCAAAAACAGTTAACAAAGCTTCATCTGAATATATATGTATAAGATATTTATATTATAAATTTAAACCTCATTCGTCATTCATATTTAACTCTGAATGTTTCATGATATCATTGTATGTATGATATTTACAATGCAGAAAATTTAAATGAATTTAAAATCAATTAATCATTGTTTTAAGTATTAATTACAAAGTTTAGGTTTAACTTTTTCATATAATATGATTTGTCAGTGAGAGTTGTGCACACCTTGCAGTGTTATTTAATAAGAGCTTAGAAGAGCCTTAGAAATAGTAAGGCTTCAAAAAAAATTTTAAAGTGGCTTTTATTTATACAAATGGTTTTTAGCAAAAATAGAGTAATGTATTATTAGATAAGTACGATAATGAAATCTTTTTCTTGTTCCCTCCCCTCTGAATTTCTGTTATGTATGCGTTACTGGAAATAATAAAACTTTTTTACAGCATGCATATGTATATAAAATATTTAATAATCAATATACAGTCGCGAACGGAAAGATTAAAATATACTTCTTTTTTTTTTCGGAACACAATCGATATTGTAAAAGTGCAAAGCACTATCCAACTTGCATAATGAAATATTATTGTCTCGAAAGATCGTAAAAGCTATAAAAAAAAAAATATATATTTCCATATAATTTTATCCGTAATATTTTTTTATTTAATATCAATATGTACAACACAACCACCTATAATATATACAACACATTCACCCACACTTTTTGTAACCGATAAAACTTCTCCCCAACGACGATTAGAAATATTTTCAACTTTTCATTTGGCGGCTGAGAGCTTGATAAAGTCCAATTAGTGACGATACTGTACCAAGTGCTCCAACGTGCCACGTTTTTAAACGGCCTCCCCAAAGTACTCCCGGTGGTAAATAGCTAATCGCATAAGAAATATCCAGCATATTGCGTATGCATGCCAATAGTGCACTTTGCCGTTGCTCATTGAGGTCCTTTAACATGGTTCTGTTCGAAAAAAAAAAAACAAATACGTGACTTAATTTATTTTCGCCTGTTTTATTAAATGTAATATTGCTGAGATAAGATCACATTTAAAACTTTATATTATGATAAATGTGATAATGGGATACTTACTGTGTACCAGAGTTAGTTCTCTTCAATCCTACTTTAAATCTTTGAAGCTTCTGCAATAGTCTCAACGATCTGAAACAATGATAATTAAATATTTTACGTTTTATATGTTTAATGTGTGTTTGCAATAGAATAATTATTGAAATCGTTTTGACACAAAATAGCGCATTTTTCAATAATTTTTGCTTACTTCAGTAAGGACAGGTGTAAAGAAACTATCCAAAACCAAGTTGTAGTAAGATCCCACTTGTCGTTATTAATCGACACAATATTATGCTGGCCAGCCCAAGCAATGTGCTCTATGGGAGAATAAACAATGTCTACTACATTCTGTATCACTTGGCACCATCTAATCAACCGGTCAGGTTCCTATTATTAGATTACATATGAAATTTAAATGGCTCTAGAAAAATAATGTAATACATTTCTGTTATATAGTGTTCTGCAGGTAGCTGATTAGAAGTCTCAGCTGTGTGATAACGTTTCAATCTTAATTTTTAATGCGATTAATTCGTGTTAAATTAATAGAGCTACCTGCTTGCCCCATCCATATGTCATCACGAAGTGAAGCGTAGGAAGATCATCTAGCAAGCGCAACATCACTCTGCACTCGCTCATCTGGCTTCCAAAGGTCTTGAGCTTCTTCTCGGTACTCTTGGACGAAGTGCATACAGTAAGTAATTTTGCCGCATAAGACAGGGTTCGTAACATCTTGTCTCTGCCGGAGTATGTTTCCAAATAATCGTTCATAAGTGGAAGATCCATTTCGGTTTTCTTAATTTCTTTCTCAAAGGAGGAAAGTGAGAGATGCTTAACAATTTGGATGTGTCAGCTTATCGATTTACTGCAAAAAAAAAAGATAAAACACACTGTAATTGATTTGTTACATAACAACTTGAATAAAATGGACTAAATCCTCCTTTTCTCTATTAAAGAAAATAATTCAAAAAAATAAATATGAATAAGGATATTAAAACTTGCTTTTTGTTTCAATATAAAAGTATTTAAGTAAAAAATCATACACAAGATTATAATAAACCATCCTTAATGGAGCACTTTATGATTTATCAGACAAAATCAAAAAACAATTCAGATGATAACTGTATCAGTAGATAACAGGTATCGCAGAATTACAGATAAGTATCAAACATTACTTTTATTTTTGTATTCTTAATTTACCATTTATACAAATTACACGCACGTGATATTCTTGCGTTTTATTTGACACAACCCCGTTTTGTTTATAGACAAACCATTCTACGTACCTAGGAGGAGTCTTCTCTTTCTACGATCTACCTGACGAAATGTGCGTGTCACGCTCAGACGTAATCAGTAAACTCCAGTAATTGTTTTTATAGCATATGTTATAAAACATACCGTTCGTATATCTCAGTCTGTCAGAAGAGAGAAAGTCTCGGCGATTTGCATAGAACCAACATCATCGTCGTCGGTCAGTTCGCATTCGAGCGTCGTGAACCGGTTGTTTCGCATACAACGCATTACCGGTTAATACTGAATTAAAATAAAAAAATCTATATATGTATCTAAAACAATCCTGAGTGACGTGCCAGCTGAATTCTGGAAGTATAGCCAGCTGATGCGCTTATTTGATACGCCATCTGGCGTCCGTATGAGAAAACTGAACTTCTTGAATCTTACAACAGAGTCTGAACTTATCGATGTATTGTTGCTACGCGCGGAAAAATCTGTTGTTGAAAGTGCAGTGCAAATCCCTGTTAATCGAAGATTAATAACAGACAAATGGACATCGTGTAGCCACCTCTCTGAACTTATTACAAAAATGCAATATGTATTGTGAGTATATTGTATGTAGTACATACATACATATTAATGAAAAATTTTTATTGCGTTATATCGCGTAATATATTTGTATTAAATTAATAAAAAAATATATATATATATTTTTTAAATATAATATCTATTGTACAGTCATGGACACATCGGTTGCGACACTTTCTTTTTTATAGGTTTCAAAACGCACTAATATTTTGCAAATGCGGACCACGATTGGTGTTATACTGTCTCTAGACTAAAGATAGTACATCGTGGTTCGCATTTGCAAAATATTAGTTATCTATAAAATATATATTATGTATATTAAATATATATTAAAAACCTGTAAAAAAAAAAGTGTCGCATAACCGATGTGTCCACGACTGTACATACCGTAAAACTTAATAAATTAACCGATTGTATTATTATAGTATGTATTATTACGAATATAATATGCATTATAACAATTATTAAATAAAACAAAATAAATATATATAAATAAATAATTATGTACTCATGACACAATTTTTCTTAAATATTAATCAAATCTATATATGAATTAATTATGGCAACAATGACATTTATTGTTGTGTATTCAAATATTAGAAAAACAATATCAAATATTATTGTAATTTGCAAATCTTATATAAAGAAGACATATTACCTATATATATGATTTTTTTAAAATAATTTTTAGATGAAGTACATATATAATTATCTATACTTACCTGTTTTGTTTTATTCCACTTTTCTGAAGATCTTTTTTACGTTGGTACGAGATTATTTTGAGAGGTATAAGATTATTTTGTCCTCATGGGAACGGTTCGCAAAATTAATTTATGGATTTTAATGGAAACTTAAAATAATTATTAAAATAGAGAGGGTCGCGTACTTACGATCCGAGCGATCGTCGAGCCATTTAATGTAATGTTCACTATATCAAAAGCAAGAGAAAGACGAAAATGCACAAATCAGTAACGTAAAAATAAAGCGCCATCGGGTTATTTTTAACAAACTCATTTATTAAAATACTAAAAAGGGTGAAAACGAACAAAATCGAAAAAGTTGCACATATAAATATCAAGTAGTAAGAGTAGAAGAATAATATATTACGAACTATGTATGTATTCGCGCGCGGGGATGCGGCGGAGTAAGGGGTAAAGGAGACGAGGGTGGCGATCGTGCCTTTTGGCTCGCTGATCCTACACTCGAGACGTCGTAAAATATGTACACATATATCTCGTTTCTCTGCGTTTCCTTTTCTTCTTTTTTTCTTGCGGGAGCATTCGTCGAGGAATCGAGGATGGGAGGTGAGAGCTCGCGAGCGGTTCGGAGCAATAATTCTTCGTTGACTTTGTGTTAATTCTTTGGAACTGAATCTTCGTGACTATAATTACGAGATGACGACTTTACAGCTCGTACAGGTCGTTCTGTTTCTAGTCGTCCTGTGATCTCGCAAACCCGCGAACTCTTCGCGTCCCCTGCTCCGAACCGATTTCGCACGCGCGTAACCGAGGACCGTCTCACGCCTCCGGAGATTGGAATCGCATTCGGGATCGGGCGAAAGCAACACGACACCGTATATATCCATGAAAGAATTGATCTATTTTATAGCATTTCATTTTGAGAAAAGAAAAGAAAAGGTGACCCTTATAATTATAACAAACACGTCGTCAAATACGAAGTAGATCCTTTTTTTTTTCTTTTCGCACATTTTCGCCTTTTCGCGGCGTCTGCCTGCGGAGAGCCGTGGAATTATTTAAATCTCTCTCCGCCGCTACCGTTTCCCTTCTCCCTTCGCCTTTTGCTTTATCGTCGTTTTGAACATCATTTAGTCGTTTTGTTTTTATTATACTTTCCCGATACTCTATTTCTCTCTATCTCTCTTTCCTTTTCGGTCGATATCGCTGTCTCTTTTCTTTCCCCTTTTTCCTCTCTCTCTCTCTCTCTTTCTCTCTCCCCCCTTTTTCCTATGATATATATTTATATATATTTATATATGTATTTATATAAATATACATATATATATGTATCTTTAGCGGGTTTGTTACGAAGAAATTTCATCGCGCGTTTTTCTTTTAATACAAAACAATAAAAATCATCGTTCGTCGTCGTCGTCATCGCGTCATATATTCCAGAGAAAAAGTAACGCTACGTCGCTTTTTTTTTTTCAAAGAGATCTTAACGCATTCTCCTCCCCTATGAAACGCAGCACGGACAGACAGACAGACAGACAAACCGACAGATAGACAGACAGACAAGGAGACAGATTTAAGACAAGATTACACAGACAAACGGTGGACTACATTGTCGACAATCGTGGCTTCTTCTTCTCTTTCTTTTCCCCTCTCTTTTTTCACTTCCTCTACTTTCACAAAATTTTGCACACGCACGCTATACGCTCTATTGCGTATACTTCTATCATTCTATTTTGCATTCCTCAGTCATCCTTTTCTCTTTCACGTTCTCTCATTATGTTTCTTTATCTCTCCCTTTCGCACATTCGCAAATTCACACGCATACAACAGCGCGCATACATTCGCACGAGATTCGCGTGATAAGCACACTCACACCGAAATTTCTCTCTCTCTTTTTCGTTTTTTTTCCATCTACATTTCTATTCGTCGTCGATGTAGCTCCTTTTTTCCGCTTTGAACACTTTTTTGGGGAGGTGGGTGTCAGACTCTGCCATTTTCTCTCTTTCCGCTAACGATTATTATACAAAATAATTAGAAAAATGTACAAAAATTCATAAAAATAGTAATAGTTACATAGTACAAGTTACTTTTGGGTAATTATAATAATGTGTACGTGTGTGTTCGTGTGTGGGTGTACATGTATAAGTGTGACCGAGAAACGAGCATGAAAGTACGACCCTACTGATAAATCGTTCCAACGAGACGAATCGGAACGCGTCGCCGCGAACGGTTTTCCGGGGAGGAAAACGATCTTTTCTCCCCCTCCCCTGTGGAAAATCGTCTCCCGACGGGATATCGCGCACGCCAATAATTAATAAATATTAATGTCGTTGCCTACGTATGTATTTTACATGCGTGCGCGGGACGTCCCGTTATACTTGACTATTCAGTTAACGACAAGGTCTCACCCTCTAGAAATGAAATTTCTAACAACGATAATAATACTCGTCTAAGTCGTTATAATTTACGTTGACATAGCGTTAACGGGTGAAGCTGGAAGGATTAACGCCGCCACGTTTCCGATAGCAGAAAAATAATTTTTAACTTTTCAGTTTTCTTTTTGCCAGCTGGCCAGGCAGCCCCTTGGATATCTTCCAAGTTCCGAGGCAGACACTCGCCTAATCTGTTTCCCGAAGGAATTCGTCGTTACGGCCCGTCCTGCGCACGCACTTGACAACTACAGTGTTCTCTCTTCCGTTCATCCGGCTACTCGCGTTTCCTTTCTAGTCGCTCTCGCACACACTCTCCCTCTCACGCGTACTGCCTCTCGTCGCAGATCTATACATTTATATGTACATACACATTTATAATATACTACGTGTCAGCGCAAAGACAACTTCTGCTCCGCTGCCCCGTTGCACCCGTGTCACGTGCGGCAGCTGCGGTTAAGGAAGAGCAGAAAAGAACTGCGTGTGTGAAAACTTCGAACTCTGGATAATCGCGTTACATCCGATCCAGGTAAATTACGCGTATAATTTCCAAAAATCAATAAAGATCTAACGAGACTCTCGTCTCGCGGCGAGGAGGCCGCGAGAGAGAAAAACCACGGGCAAGCGAACTGACTCGATACCCCCGCGCGATATCGCGTCTCCGCGACTCGCCAAAAATCACACGGTAAAAATATCTTGATTAGCAGCACAGAACTTATCCTACGCGAAACCGCACGCATCACGGCCCCCTTTCTCTCTCTCTCTTTCTCGCATATATATGCCCGATATACCTTAATGTTATTAATGCCACGATATATATTCTCCGCACGAGTCCAGATCAGCAGGCTCGCCCTCGCAAAGAAATCCTCCCCTCGCCCGTTTAGCGTCAGGTACGCGCTTCGGATTTTCTTTATCTAAAGAAAAAAAGAAAAAAAGGAGCGAGGGGAAAAATTGGAGATTCGCGCGTGTACGTGAGCCGCGAGGCAGATCGCGCTTGGCGCTAAACGTGCGAGGACTCGGATCGATGGTCGATTCGTCGGCTACCGCCGGCGAACGCTGATACGTGATCATCGATGTGGAGCCGCTAATCGCGATACCCCTCGTTAAAAACGAGCGTTCGTTAAAAACGCACGCCTCGTTGGAAACGCCGAGAAGAATTTCGGGGGCGGTCAAGTATCGCCCGGATCGACCGCGACGCGACGAGAACCTCCCGATTACATCCCCGTCTAACTGACAATGAGTGCGGAGGAATTTTCGGAGTCAAATCGCGTTTCGTGTATGGCGAACGCTTAAGCTGTAGGGAAAAAACAACCTGTAGTCGGCGATTCTCTCATCTTGGATCGACTTGAGCGTCGGCGTTCGCCGTACAGCCGTATCGCGAGGAGCCTCCGTCGCTCTTCTCTCGTCGCAACGACTCCACATTTCTCGCACGGAGCCGCACACACATTTCATTTACACACATGAATTTAAACGCAACGGCGAACACGTGCACACATACACATACACGTAATACACACATACACGCATTACACAGTATCACGCGTTACTTTCGCAACCTGTCCCGGGGGCGTATTCCTCCGTTACTGTCTATACGCTCTGATTCTATACGCTCTGAGACATTCGCGCCTGCGGGGATACCTTTCTCATCCCCCTTTCACACATTCCCTTCACCACTCGCACCACTCGTACGCGCG